GGTTTGTGACGTAAGGCGTAAAAGAATCTTGAGGTCATGGGGATTCCCCTGACCTGGATTCTATCTCTCTGTCACCGGCAGAATCGCTGATTAATGCCTACAGTTCAAAATAGTCATTTTGACTCACCGGAGTCTATGGTGGGTATGAACTATGTGAATAGGCGGTTTCGGAGAACCCTCGTCTAACTATAGACTAACCCCAAATACCGATGTTTACTTAAGCGTGAAAAATCACAAAAATTATAAAACACACTGTATCTCAGATTTATTCAAAATATATTACCCTCCTAAACCATCTCTACAATTGATTTTTCTAGTTAAACGCATGCTTCTTATATTTGTATAAGAGAATATGGAAAAAAAGTAAATTTGATATTTTCAAAGAAAAAAACCTCTACTACATCCTTAACATAGATAGATATGAACACATATCGAATATATATAATACCAGGGCCGAAATGATCAACCTGTTTTTGGCCGGAACGTTCAAATCAGGGCCATTCAAATTATCGTAATTTTCACTTGTATCATACTATTTTCAAGAACATTAGTGCTTTTTAGTTTGGGAAAACAATTTTTTTTCCAAAATTGTCAAACTGTCTAGACATCACCTGCGACCAGAAATGGTTGACCAGGCTTGCCTTCGAACATCATATTTGTCATCAGTTTTTGAAAAAAGTAAAACATCTGTCATTTAAATTATCAAATTATTTAGTTGAATCATACTACTGTGGAATACTTTATTTTCGCTGGAATTAATTTTCGCTGAAAAGGCTTTTTGGGCCTTTTGTATGGAATTTATTTTTACTGATTTCTGATGAGTTTATTGTAAAATATAGGAAAAAAGTATATTCGCTGGATTTTATTTTCACGGAATCATCCCCTCAGCGAAAATAAATTCCAAGCGAAAATAAAGTATTCTACAGTATTTTAAAGAGCCACGTTTCAGTTTGGTTTGCAAATTACAAATGTTTTTTTTTCAGTGCACGGAGTGTAAATGAACTGAGACATTGTTTACAAATCACAATATGTAGTGGTCATTGTTATTTCGATTCACTTCTTGAAATCATTGTTTTTTTCCCGTTTACTATTATGATTCAACCACTCAAAACTTGCCTCTGATAATTGATGGCTTCTATAATTTTAAGCCCTAAATTTGGGTGTGAAAATGACTACTGTAGAATACTTTATTTTCGCTTGGAATTTATTTTCGCTATTTTCTGTGAAAATAAAATCCACCGAATATACATTTTTTCCTATATTTTACATTAATCTCATCAAAAATCAGTGAAAATAAATTCCAAGCAAAACGCCAAAAATACCTTTTCAGCGAAAATTAATTCCAGCGAAAATAAAGCATTCCACAGTAGTTGGTAAAAATTCACCAAATTTGTAACTTGATAAAAAAAATATCTACAAATATGATTTTATTGGGTTTGAGTTATTGTGTCAAATCTTAATCAAATCAACAAGATGAAATAAGATAAGAAATATTATGAATGAATTTTTATTTTTTAGGGACAACATTGCTTTCAGTTTGTACAAGGTGTTTCTTACAGCGTAGATATTTAAGTGTTAACTGCTCACTATTTGCTGGAGGCAAGTGGAGAGAAAGGTAGGTTTTAGTATTTACTTCCAATGGCTATATCTACTATTAAAGTATATTAATCAGATTATATAGTTTTGTTTTTAGCCCGATGGAACACTTGATAAGCTATTAACATAGTGCAATTGTCTATCAGCTGTCTGGTCATCCATCCTGAATGGCTTCTACTCAATACACTGATTAACCACTCTGTCCACCGGGTCACTTGTATTACCTTGTCAAGAAGGTGTAAGAGGTTAAAACAGTGCTTGAGGTATTATTTGAGGAACATGAATATTAATTAATTTTTGATGTGATTATGATGACTTCATAACCCCTACGTGATCATGTTAGAAAAAGCTGTATTTGACCTCACCTAAATTAAAGGATTTGATTGGCCAATGACAACTCCCATCAATTTTAAATTTGAACCAATAGATTTTGCCGTCTTATATTATGTCATTGATTTCCCCATGTAAACACACCAGAGTATGCATCATTGTGATTTTGTCAAGAGTGAATGCAGGTTTATAGTGGGAATACTACCAAGGAATAATGGTGAGGTGACCCCGAATAAATTAACCTAGGCTGGTGAAGATGAACAGTCTTTTTCCCATAAAATGTTCAAATATATTTCAGGATTTGTCTAGTCCCTTTTACCCCAGGCGCTGAAGGTTGTAATGTTCCACCTGCCCGGTAGGATAATGCTACGCAAACAACAATCCAGTCTGACTGCTATTGGAACTGAGTTCCGCCCACTCACTAATTAAATGCATGCTACCTTTGCAGTTTGAACGATAGCCAATCACACACGACTCTTGATGTAGCTGTTAATAACCAACTGAATATATTAACTAACCATATATGGGAGATGGCGGGTAAAATCAACGTTGATCATGTTGGTGTTTTTATCCCAATTTCTCCAGCTGTCGTTGATCTTAAGTGGTTGAGTTCATTTGAGAGTTATTTTTGTCGGAGTTTGTGTCTTCAGTTCTCTACCACGATCTGGATTTAGTTCATCGACAAACTTGTTCAAAGTTTCTTGTGTCAGACTGGAGTTATTTTATGGACCAGCTAATTAATCATGTGCATTGGATATTATTTTGCTTTTATCATTATTAATTTGCTCTTGTGATAATCTTGAAGAAACACAAAATCATGGTTTCGGCGGATTGTCGGCGATTTTGTCAAAAACGCAACAGTGTCACGGTGGTTTACAATCCCTTCAATTGCCATAAACTGTTCATCTTTGAGAGATGGCACACCAGGAATGTCTTCTAAAATTTTAGCTTTTCCTTAGCAATCATGGCCAAACTTTCACGTTATGAACAGTTACACACAACAGTCTAAACCGAGACACACGCTGACAACGAGAACTAAAAATGGCGCCAGTCAGGTGATTTGCTAAAAAGAGAATGGGCTTTTGATTGACACTCGCATCACCCAATTAGCGCTACATCTATTTTATGAACGGCACACTCTGGAGTGTTGTTTGTGTATCATTATCCTACCGGACGGGCGGAACATTACAACCTCTAGCCTGGGGTAAGTCCCTTTTTCCCATGCAAAGAAAAGTTATTGCATTGTTTGTATATATATATACATCCATTTGTTTAATCTCGATTCTCAATGGACAAGGTTTTAATAGTTACACTATGTTTATCAATTTTACTGTGAATAATTCAATAAATATTAAAATTCAGTTTTGCTATAAACCATTACGAAACATGATATTGATCTATTTTTTGTGAAATTATCTGAATTCCCCCAAACAAAACAAAACAAAACAACAACTTCTGTTAGTCTTGGTAGTGTCCAGGAAAATTTAAAAATACAAATGTGAAATAATACCAACAGTTTTAGTACGTGATTTATATTCTGACTGGTTATCAGCTCCAGTTCAAATTTACATCAAGTATGTTACTTAATTACATGGTCTAGTGACCATATTTTCATTAAATTTGTTTGATCTTGAAATGTCCTCAACTGTTTCTCAGAGATGACTGGGTTTCTTTCAAACATGATATATTCATACATATTGGGTTAAAGATGCTTGTTTGCATGTCACACACAGTCAAATAGCTTCAAATGTCAACAACTTATTTTGTGACAATTTATACATGTAGATACTGTAGTTAAACTTTGTTGTTGTTTTGACCTTGCAGGCATGGTTTAGCAAGGAATCCAACCCATGATTATGGTCCACTAGTAGATCTTCCTGATTGGACGTATGAAGGTAACA